CAAGTAAATCTTCTAATTTATCCATAAATGAAACAAATCACACTGTTCTGACAAATTTGGGAATTTTGTTTCAGGTATGGTAAAGGGGGCTTTATAGAAAAATAAAAAGAATACACTTTCCCATATCCATTAAAATTATGGGAAGAAACCTGGTTGAAATTCCATCTGGAGTTAAAAAAGATTTTTCCTTCTTCTATTCCGCTGGTTTTCAGATGCAGGGAACAGAGAGTTCTGTTACACATTAACTCCACTGGGACTAGTTACTCTGACCAAATGACCTGCCTTCTACCGTAGCTCCAAGTTTCCACATTTTCACCAGCTGTGGAATGTGTGTTATTGCTTTCTCTGCTGTCTGACCGAAACCATGCTAACAAACTTTTATGAGCTCCTTCTGATGTGCTCCTCCAACTCTCCCCCCCCCCCGTTAGGGACGTATTCCAAAACTGTTAAGAGGAAAGGTCTCAGATGAAGCTTGACAATGATGACGAAGTTAGAGACGACGGTGGTGATGGAGGGCGACTTGAACACATTTACATTTCACCTCATGTTCAACTACATACCCTCAAGCATAAACCGGAAGGACTCACCCGCAGCAACTATCGTGAACCCTATCCCTTTACATGCCATTACAGATAATGAATTACTACTCCAGTTTTGAGAAAAGGAGGCAAAGACATACATGTCAGACCATAATATTTCTGATTTTAGCAGACTGATAAGTGTTTTGTGGACACTAATTAGTAGCAAAAAACTCAATTTACTTCATAGACTTTGTTCACTACAATGGTTTAGTACTACATTGCAAATTCTCATATGCATGTGTAGAATTATTAATGGTGTGCCATGCTTTCATAGGCTCTGAATATAAGGACTGTAATTAGAGAATCGGCTGCACATTCTTCTGTTCAGTGCCCACACAAACAACAATTACTATTATCAGTCACAAATATTTTATTTTATTCATAGTAATTTTGTTATTGCTGTTCATGATTCTGCGAGTATAGTAGTAACAGTCAGGATACTCGTGATTGTCGTGATTTAAATGGATGCTTTTTAAAGACGTTCTTGACGGTGCTAAAAGGCCTGCACATATTCTGGTAGAGATGCCAAGATACTGACAGTGGAAAGAGCAAGCTTTACCCCACTTCCTTATTCTTATTCTAGTCACGCACCTCTGACACATGCATATTTCCAGTGCACATGTGATTCAGCAAGGAGAGGGGGTGCTGGTTAGTGAAATACTGTACTTGCATGCTTTCTTTCCACTGGTGCAGTGCACTCTGAACACTGCATGTGACTACCATCTCTGTGCATCTGGTAAATCAGACCTGGCCAACACAGGATATACAGAGATATAAATATTTATCCTTTATCCATGAGGGCTGCAGGAAGCATGATGCCAAGTCACATGTTTTTCTCACTAAAGAAAATGTTAAATCAAGGATGATCATATCTGACACATCACCCACACAACTGCCTACCGTGTGAAGTCAGAGATGCAGGACTGACCGGGGAAAGAATAGCAAGATGGTTTCTCTAACATTCCTATCCTGAAGGGTTTATTTTAGTTGGATAGATAATTGTCTGTGGCTGTACTTGGAAGTACATTTTACCTTCCCTTTTGCCAGAAAAACAAGAGATGTGACTTGTGAGCCCTCTGGGGGTGAGGCTGAAAACTGCACTCTTCAATGGGAACCTAATAAAGAAATTAATTGGTAGACATTTGCAAGCTTTCAAATTGCAACTCTCTTTCCACTGTGTAAGACTGAATTTAGGGCAAAAGCAGAACCATATTGTTCTTCAGAGCTCCAGTAAGTTTAATAAATGTAACTGTATTAGTGTGAACAACAGTCCAGGAGTGAAATATCTGCAAGAAAATTTTACTGAAATAGCAAAATAATATATAGAATTAACTCAAGGATAGTTTTATAACAAGGTATAATCTTTCCTCGAGCCTCTATGTCACAACCCCCCCCCCAACAAAGCTCCATTTACTGACATTTTTGCAGTCAAAAAGATGTTATCAGTTATTTACTGATTTGCTGAAATACATTTTTAATTGTAGCTTATGTTCTTGTAAGTGAGGGTTTCAATTTCTTAATTCTCTTTAGGAACTGGATTTCAAAATACATAATTAAAAGGGAGATGGGACTGTACTTTGAAGTTTTCATTCGCCTGATTAGCATTTCAAAATTTGCTCGCTCATGACATGCTATACTTAATATGAGATGTGTTAAAAGTTAAAAGCAGTCTGAACTCATTTATCAGCATGAGGCTTTCTATGGGAAAAGCTGATAATAACACACCTGCTAACAAGGGTGTATTTTTGGAAAAAATCATTTTAAATGTCAGTTAGGGGGTGCAAAATGCATCAAATAGTCCAACATACACCATATGATATTGTAATGAGAATGAATTTCCTAATTTATTGCTTTGCATTTGAACAATTTATATGCTTTTGGGTTATTATCTTGGCAAAATCCCCAACACCACCTCCGACTCCCCCATCACACCCCCCTATTTAAAAGTTTGGTTTAGTCCACAACTGGCTAAAAATTCAGCCTTTTCAACCTCTTGCTACCAATATAGTTTATTTAAGCAGCTTACAGACCAAAAACATGTGGGCTTTTCTGCTATGTCTGCTGGCCTTATTAGCAAAAGAAAGCATGGCAAATAAAAGTTCAGAAACAACAACTGAACAAAATCTGGAAATAGCCAAAGGGAAGCTGGTGGTAAGTTCACTGACTGTAAAATAGCCTTTCTTTGGGAACGGGTATTTTTGTCTTGCTGGTAGATGTCCCCTCTGGGCACACACCTGTAAGACGCCAGTAATAAATCGTATATTTGCTTTGCCAGGCTCCCAGCGTGGTTGGATGATCCATCAAGAGAATCCCAGAGCTTTACCAGTTTCTGATGGAGCGCTGGGCTCTCTAGTATCTTTTAGCATTGCATTCCACTTGGAATAATAACACTACCAGCTATCATTTACCTGTCTTTCTGTACTGTCTGTACTGAAGGCTTAATAGATTCAGGTTGGTATACAGCTTACACGTGATAACCTAGTTCATAGTACTTTAATTCTGATTAATATTCTGATTTATATCATTGTAGAGAATAATTTCTATTTTTTCACCCTCTCAACACTACACAGTTTACCTTAACTTTCCTGATTTAGCCATAACCTAGAATATCACTCTGACGACGGCGAAGAGCCGCAGCTGGTGTTCTTCAATGCGAAAGAAGAGGTTGTGAAGGTAAGCTGTGTGCTCTCAGCGGAATATTAACACCACAACTACTGGACCTGCCTGTCCATTGTACACACGAAGCATCTATATACTGTCGTTTAAAAAACCTGTTATCAATATTTAATATTTTATTTAAATTTCGAAATTACAGAATTTAGAGGTGGAAGAAAAACAAAACATCCTTCCAGATCTAATAAAAGGCTGTCATTTCAGCAGAACCTCTTCTGTAATTTTGGGCTTGTATCAGTTTTCGACGTTTGGCTTTAAGCCATGCAGCAAAGTGCAAAACTAGCAGTCAAAATCTTTAGCAACAGGAATACTGTAGGATGTTGTAGAGGTCAGGTTTGCGCTGGGAGAACTTGCCTTTAATCGTGTTTTGCAAAAATGCACAAGTTACCTGATCGAGACACTTAATGTTGTCGTTTGCAGTCAGTTCCTGTGAAAAACATGAAAGCAGACGAGATTAGCAGGCTCCTGGATTCTTTGGGATTCTACAGAAGGTCGCAGAAAGGAGAGGAGGTCCCAAAAGAATTCCAGCACTTCCCCCTGAAGGCGCCTAAGGATGAACTTTGAGGGCACCTAGTGGACAGCTTCGGAACTGCTGCGGGAAATAAGAATGACGTGTGGGACCCAAAGGCAGATCTGTCTGGTTCCAAACTGAGAAAGCGCATTTCTTGCAGTACGAAAAAGCTGAGCACACTACAAACTTAAAGTAATAATAAAAAACTGCAACAATATGACTCAATTATATGTGTTTGCATTTCTTTCTTTGCTGTGCCTGAAGACGACTGTGAGATATCTTGCGCATTTTGCTTGGGAGGGGATACTGCTCTTGTCATTAAAAAACACTAGCGACGTTATTTCAAAACAGCATGGTCACATAAGTAGTAAGTTTTATGTGTTTGTTTAGAAAGCTTTAACAAGCTGCACGAATTACAGAAGGCTGGAAAACATTGCGTTTTCTATTTAGGTCTCTAGCTAAAGTATCTACAATGTTTGGTAACTGTATTGTTATAATCATCTTATTATGGTAGCATGTATTCATAAGTTTATGATTGGGTAATAACAAAGCTGTGAATGATAGTACATTTTATAGCACATTCGTGCGTATATATGGCAAAGGCCACACAATGCTCTGGTCTTGTGATACCACGTGTGATTGGTGTCTGCAGAGACACCGGTGATCCCTGTAAGATTCACATGGGGGCGATAACACGTTGCCGAGGCGCAGAAAGCTTATAACGTTATAATTCCGTGACACTGGAAAATGTAAGGTTAATTGAATAAGTCTCGCCAGGAATTATCACTGGTGCTTGATCACTCGCGTGTTGTGTCTCCGTGTGGTCTTTTGCCTCTTTTTCTCAGTTTCTGCTGCATAGATCTCCAATTATATGCCCTTTTAAATATACATAGATAAATTCTTCATGTGTTTGTTTTCATTTAACACCAATAATACTCAGTTTCACGTTACAATGAATTTTTTTTCAGAAAGCGTTTTTTTGCATGTTCCATTATTTTAATTTTAAAAACGTCCCCGATCTCCGTTGATATCTAATTTAACTGAAAAGGAGACCAATCCGATGTTTTATTTGATATTTTATTAATCGCGGTCGCGGAATGGAAATCAAATGAAAGCACAAGAAAATGTGCAAACACTTCAGTCACATCGGATGCCATTGGGCTTTTATTACTCTTGACGTAGCGAAACTGTCCTGCTGTTTTACTGAGTATTTCACGGGCACACCTGCACCTACGGCAAATTCGCCTTGTGTTTTGAAAAGGCAGTGGCCTTTGGGATCTCTTCTGAAAAGGCCTTCTTGTGCATAATCTGATTAGCAGGGCAGTACAGTTAATCCCACCAGCCTAGTGGCAGATGGGGAGCCATGGAGTTGGTCTGTGTCTGTAGAAGGGGCAGTCATGCCTGTGTTTTACACACCTATACCACAGAACCTGCGTCTGGGTCTGGCCTATGTAAGTGGTTCTGTCTTCACACACAACAGAACACAGGACAGTGGAGATGGACAGACTTGTGCGGCAGGTAATGCAGATTTAATGTCTGAAAGAATAGGACATAAACGAAAGGGCAATATTTCTATCATGTTTGCGATAGGTCATATTACTACATTATTACATTGTATGCTTTCGTTGAGGAATAGTATTAGAATTCTTTTTTTGAGGGGGTGTAAATTTTTCTTGGTGCAGTAAAATCTATGTTCTGTAAAATTACATTTTACTTTACATTTAATTAAATTGAGTAAAAAATAACATGACTGTAAAATGCTTGTTCTATTTAGTCCTGAATGTATCATTATTCAGTTTCTTAAGATAACATTAACAGATTTTGCACATGGATAATGTTTCATATGTGTATTACAAGTGATTCTGGAATTATAGGCTGTTACTGTTGCAATAAACTCTTTATCAGTAAAATAAATGTTCTAAAATAGATCTTCAACATGAGGCTACAGGGCAATGATGGGACTATCCTAATGTTCTATCATCATGTCATTATTCAAAGTAAATTTGTTGACGGCACAATTATTTATATTGATTATAGAACTGTGGTTAATATAAATTCATCATGGGTTTTGGGTAACAACGAATTCTTTAAAGCTTTGACCTCATGGTTACAGCCAGAACATAGAAACGTCCTTTTCTATATTTTAATTTCTGTACTATATTTGTTTTCAGCACATGAAATAGTGTCACACCTACCCCTACAGATGTTGCTGTATTTCAATGTCTTCTATTTTCCTGTCTGGTGGGTGTCTGAAGTACTTATGCTGGAGTTAAAGGTACTTTGTTTTCCTGTTACAATGCATTTAAAAAATTGACTTGATGTGAATTTGACCGAAGTATTTCTTGCACTGTCATTTCTGTGTTTTTTAGTTCTATTTGTTGCCTAGCTACTACCAGTTTCTCCTGGTGACAGGGATGGTCCTATTCACAGTGTCCGAGTGCTTGCGGCTCTATCTGGGATATGTAGGAAACCTGAAGGAAAAGGTATGCTATGAATCCATCTTAAGTAACTGCTTTATCCTTGGAGAGCCGTTGTGAGACAGAGCCTGGTCTGGCAAACCCAGAGTGAATGGTGGGACAACACCCTGAACGGGACTCTGGCCCAGTGCTGGGCACACATACTGTATGCATGCACTCACATGCATAGGTGGGACAAATATTAACACCAATGAGCCTAGACAGCTTGTCTTGGAACTGTTGTAGGAAACTAGAGCATCCAGAGAAAGCCCTCATGGACACAAGGAGAAATTACGAACGTCACACAGAAGGTGCTGCACATGATTATAAGGCAACAGCACTGCCAAGCGGCACAGAAATAAATCTTAACCATGTACAGAATTGCTTTCAAAAGATATCCATCGCTAATTTTACTGCCAATGGCAAAAAGAAAAATTGTGTTCCTAATAGTTTATACATACTTTGGCCGTACTGTGTAGGGAGAATATTTCTTTCATTTACAGCCATTTAAATGTTTCAATGAAGTCTTTATTGACTTTGTTTCATCAGGTGCCAGAACTGGCAAGTTTCTGGCTCCTTTCCTTCCTGTTTCAGCTCCCCATTGTGCTCTTCTTCCTGCTGGATGAAGGGATTATTATCCTCCCTTTGGAAAGAGCTGTGCACATCGTCTACCTCCTCTTCATCCTTGGCGAGGTCCTGACTGCCTTCCTGGCGCTCAAAGTCATGACCCGAAAACTCACCCTGCAATTCCATCTCAGGCAGTTCAGCGACTTGGAAGCCAGCCAGCAGATATGAATGAAATCCTCACAATTCCTTCTGGAAGCAGGATGATGCTTATTGCCTTGATGAAAGACTTTCATGTTTAATGGGCCTTATCCTTTTGCTAGGTGTACTGCACTACCCTCGCAAATTAAATAATTCAGTTGTCCTGTACTTCCACTGAGCTGGATCAATGTAATGGTATGTAGTAGTGCTGTAAGTTAATGCATGCAGTTAAGTACTTAACTGTTCCTGCATGTTAAAAATAACACTAATAAGCTTAATTCTCAAATATTTTAATTGCCCCATTATGAAATCAAATTTCCCAGATAACACTGTAACTGACTTACAGTCAAAAAAAGGAACGAAATCTTAACAGCTTTCTTTAGCTATTGTTCATTTTAACATTTTAAACTGCTCAAGTTGTACTTAATGCATACATCTAATAAAATTAGGCTGTTGGCTGCTTATTTGTTTTGCAGGGAATTATTTAACGTTACATCGATAAGAATAGGTTTTAAATGTTTATTTCTGACAAAGAAATGTGTTCTTCACTTCAACATTATGTTCTAATAAAACAGCATGTAGAAGCTAACCCATTCCAAGGCTTGTGGATACAAAACAAATTCACACGTTTTTAAATTAAATTTATTAACAGTCCCATCAAATTCAACATAATATTGTGTAGTCACTGTATACCATAGGCCAGAACTTGTTTTGCTGCTGTTCTGGGTTGCTGGGAAAGGTCCAGCGGTCCAAGACAATCAGTCCAGTCTCTGTCCCAGGCATTCATTCTGGTTTTGGGGTGACAGAAACACATCTTCGTCTTCTGGAGCGCCTTCATCCGAGGATTTCCACAAATAAGGGGAACGACTTCATCACACCTTACTCATCTTCTTTCTCATAGTTGTGCTTGATGTGTTTCCACAGTTTCTAAAAAATGAATGCAAAAACGTTAACGAGTGGACAATACACAACGCGACTATTTAGCAATAGCGTAGTTTTTTTTTTTACTATAGATCACTACTGACAGTAATAACAAGGCACAAAATACAGTGAAACTCTGTACGTCGTTGCGCCGCCTAAGATAGCATTCTCAAAATCTACACATTCTGTCCTTTTCAACTAGAAGGTCAGGCCTACAGTGCACTAGGATACAAATGCCATGCCGGTATTACTTTATGAACTCACCCCACGATTCAGATACTCAAAAAGAGCATCTCCACCTTGGTCGAACACACGCTCGAACACGACGGCTCCCACCACGATAGAGAAGACGAAGGTAGAGGTTCGCCCGAAGAGAAAATTGTAGACCCGTCTACCCGGCCCCATGTCTGCTGCTGCAGTGCACCTTCGAAGGCAGGAACAGGAAGTGGCAAAAGAACGCCGGGACTTGTAGTTAATAAAAACGACGTCAAATTAACGTCTAAATCGAATATAGCTCTTGAGGCTAACTAGAGCGATAGAGTCAGGCGTTGTATACAATTCCTTGGATAATAAAGCTCTTTTACTGAAGCACACATCTTATCTTTAATGACCAGGTAGTCGTTGAAAACCAGCAGAGTTTTAATAAAAAATGTAAAGTGCACAAAATATAAATTATAATTGTTGTGGTGGTGTGTCAATTTCTCTCAGACATCTCCCAGTAGTTTTTTTTTTGACGAAAGAACGTTATGACATTATTATGTTGATTCATATACCTTGATCTGGACTGGTCTTGGGCTAATGTTTTAGATTAACTAGTACAAGTATAATTAGCGACGCTTGTTACCGATACCCACATACGATGGGGACTTTAACCGCAATAAAAAAATCACGGAAAGCCCATCTAACCCATAGATTTACAAAAAAAAAACTACATTTCCCCAGATCCTCTACTGTTCAAACCGGAAATTGGCGTGTTGTGCTGATGCGCTGGCGTGTTGGAAGGTTTCTGTAAAGCGTTTGTGTTAACAATTATGTTTTTACATAAACTTGTAAGCATTTGGTGTAGGATTTTTTATTAACACTAAAGGTAAGTAGGCCACATTGCTGTTGATAATATTTAGAAAGTTTTGTGAAATGTTTAAAGTTGCATCACAGAATAAAGTAAATTATGAAGCAATTAAAATTGTTAGGCGATAGTTAATGTAAGTGCTACGATTAAAAATCTCTATTATTAGGTAATTATTAACTGGCTTGTTGTGTTATAATTTAAAATAATTACTTGCGAAAATGCTAGATTTTATAGCTCAAGTACTTCATGAGAGAAGGCATGCATTTTAACCTGACCAGTAAGTCTGTTGATGATGTCCAAACAGATCTAAGAACTATTTACTTCAACCGACTGCTCTATTTAGCTCTGATCTTAGACCATTTCTGTCTTTTGACCGTAATGTCATCGTGATTCTTCTGATCTAGTTTTGCCGTAGGAAAGTCGTGTTGACACCATGGGGAAGAGATATTACTGCGACTATTGCGACCGCTCCTTCCAGGACAACATGCACAACAGGAAGAAGCATCTCAATGGTGTTCAGCACCAAAGAAGCAAAAAGGCCTGGTTCGACAACTTCAGAGGCAAGAGCCCACTTCAGATTCACGATTTAATAGATAAGACCAGCAGCTATGTTACCGTGCAACTCACAACTGGCCACCCACTGAAGCTCAGTTGGTTTGAGCTTGGCCAATCCCTGGATTGATGACCTCTTGGGGAAAAACTAAGGTTGCAGCTGGAAGAGGCGTTAATAGGACCAGCAGGGAGAGCTCACCCTGCATTCTGTGTGGATCCTAACGCCCCATTATAGTGACGGGGACACTATACTGTAAAAAGGCGCCGTCCTTCTGATGAGATGTAAAGCTGAGGTCCTGACTCTCTGTGGTCATTAAAAATCCCAGGGCGTTTCTAGAAAAGAGTAGGGGTGTTACCCTGGTGTCCTGGCCAAATTTCCCCCTGGCCTTTACCAAGCATGGCCTCCTAATAATCCACATTTATGAATTGGCCTTATTACTCTGTTCTGCTCCCCACTGAGAGCTAATGTGTGGTGAGGATACTGGTGCACTTTGGGTGCCGTTGCATCATCCAGGTGGGGCTGCACAATGGTGGTGGTGGAGGGGATCCCCATTACCTGTAGAGCACTTTGAGTGGAGTGTCCAGAAAAGCGCTATATTAGTATATTATTATTATTATTAAGACACCAGACCTAATTTTTCAAAAATGAGCAACATGAAAATCAAAATAACATAAAAATGTAGACATGTCAAAAGTCATTTAACTTATATGTAACATGCTCAAATTAGTCTTTTTATACATATAACTAAATTTAGTAGCAACACGTGGCACAAACACATGTTCACAATAAAAGGAATAAGACATTATTTAAAGGAAGTTCTGTTCTTCATTATTAGGAATGTGCAAGGCTTTATAATAAGCATTTGCACCAGGCACTGTTAACCCATATTGCAAAAGCATTTCAGTAAATGTTTTTCATTTTTCCTGTACAGATGCATCTGCAATCTTGGCTGATGAGCAAACCAAAAAGCCGTGTAGAAAGTTTCTTCAGACCGGTAAGCCTGTTTAAAACCTTGTCATCTTATCATCAGGTCAAAAATGTAAAACAGTTTTTATTTATAATGTCTTGTGTTTACTTGTGTTTTAGGCCAGTGTGTTTTTGGGTCAAACTGTAGGTTCTCCCACATGACAGACCGAGACATAGGAAGTTTAAAACATCAGATTGAAGGTGAGTAAATCTGTTTTACACAAGGTGGCACTAATATGCCATTGATGAGTTTAACAGAGTGTTTTAGAACAACCTTTTGTCTTCATCATGTTAGAAATGCTGTGAATACCTTATTTCAGTCTTGAAAACTGCTTTTTCTCTATTCCTTCTAGAGATTTATGGGATATTTCTTTAGCAGTTATACTATCTGTAGTGAGAAAACTATTTTTAAGAAGCGTACAGTAAAAAGAAGTAATAAATCTTTGGTGGTAGACAATCTTAAGTACACAGTTATCTTCATACATTGAAGTTTGTTAAATTGTATTAATTAAGAAAGGGTTAGAAGTATAGACTTTATTAAATACACTTCAGTCATCCTTTAGTCTGTTGTGAAATAGGTTACATATTGTATGCATTTCATCCATGTGCATCCAGTTTGCCCTGCTTTTTCCAGTCCCACAGGCCTGCATTGGATTAAAATTCACAAGTTTTCAAAAACTAAAGTAAAAGATTGTGATGCATGTTGTAGTACCCAAGCTGGAGTAGTTTACTTGGAGAATTCCAAGGGGACAGGCAATAGCAGGATGATAGAGGCTATGAAGTGCTAAAATGCCCTTGAAGTCCAGCTTTCTTAATGGCAGGTTTACTGGGAATCGATGCATGGTGTGTAAGGTTTGAGGGAAAATGCCATTGATGTTCACCTTACTAAGGTATCCGTAAATATGAGGTGACATTTATTTAAGTGGCTGTGCCATAGACTTCATATGCGCTTCCTCTAATTGATTCCCCTCCTCGCAGAATAAAAAATGCATGTGTCTCCGTGTCAAACAGAGGAAAGACGACTTAAAGATGATCCCGATCTTGGCAGAAAGCTGTCACTGGGGAGCATCGAGGACTGGCTGGCACAGAGAGAGAAGAGGCACAGAGCCCCTGAGAGCACAAGGTATGGCAAACTAAGTAACCAGCCAGTTGCGTTCTTTGAGCATTTAATGTGACGATTGAGACATGCGTCATATCCCAGATAAAAAGCAAGCAGTATCCCCACATCACCTCAGTTCTCCCTTCTTTGGAACAGCGAACAGATTTATCCATTTTTTGCATGCTTGACACTGAATCAAACATGGGCTTTGAGGACATTAATCAGCAACTTTGTAAAACAGGTGATTTGAAATTTTATACAAACAACTTGATTAAGATTGGAGTTGCAGTTAATTTCAACAGATCCCCAATCTCTCCAAGACAGGACCAGTTCAGTCCAGGGTTATACGCATCAACTGAAGTTGAGATGTCTTCATTTCAGTTTGCTACCATCTTTGTTTGTATATATGCATATATTTTATTGTTTTATCGGTTAATTTTCCTTTACAGTGAGTTGGGTAAGGGTGATGTGAATACAAATCCATGCCATCACTTGGAAGGAAAACTGAAGTCATTATGTTGTGTAAATGTCTTCGGAGTTTATACAATTGAAAAGTGAAATGAAAATGTACAGACTAGCTTTTGGGTCCTGCAGCTGTTCAGTACAGCAAACTCCTCTATAGCTCCACTGAAAATATGCCTAAGAAGGAGTAATGGATAATCAGTGTTATTTGTTGAAACGAGACCATTGGTTCTTAGGAACACATCTAAGAACCTGTCAATTTCTGAATGTTAGGAAACAGCAATTGAAAACTTTTGTTTTGGTTAGATTTTCAATAATATGCTGTATGTATTAAGTCTATATGAGAAATCACAGCAGACTGAAATACACGGACAGGTACTGTGAGATAATACAATTTAGAGATGTTTTTTGTTTTTAACAGGGTTTAAATAAATACATGGTTTATATACTATTCATCATCTCTTTCCAGTGTCCTTAAAGCAGAAGGGGCTGACAGTTCGCTGGGGAGTGATCTACCTCCACACTTTCTCTCAATACCAGACCTCCCAGTCTCCCTAATGCCTCCACCTTCAGGGGGCTGGATGAAGGTGCCCCATACAGAGTGGGGATAAGAGCGCAGGGGTGCACACATGCCTTGGATGGCATTGGGGTTCAGGTGTCTTCTGTCACAGAATTTTTAAAAAAAGCAACAGAAAAGTGATTGCAATGCATCCAAAGGAAGTGGATGAAAACGTCACACATCTCAGTTCTGAGCACATCTTAGAGACGGCTTTTCTGTACTATTGTAGGGTACCTGCTGAAGAAGACAAACTTTCAGTCATCAGATATGGACATTTGTTGTGATTTCTGTCCGTGAATCACTAGTAGGGGTAAAATTCTAATGTCAGGTCTTTTATCCAGATGTTAGAAGTGTATTTTGATGCCTGTAAAATGGTTCAGAATGGATTTTCTCATCTTTTAGCTCAGCTTAGTTGTTTATATCTAAATATGACAGCAAGTTTTGCAAATGGCAAGGAGCTGCTAGAATAAACAGCTAAGTTCTTTTGTTTTTTCTTTGCATTTGCAAAATCGTGATTTCTTATTGAGTTCCTGTCACTAAACTGCAGGTCTTTTAACAATTTGTGTCTATGTGCTTGGCATTATAGGTAATGGAAACGAGTATTGCCCTTTCTGAAATATCAGTGTGAAACATTTTCAAAGAAAAGCAGAGAGACTTAAATGTATGGTAATGTTTGCCATGATCCTTCCTAATGAAAGTTGTACAACAGTTCTGCCATGTTTAGAAAGCAACCACCAGCTCTTTCACTTTTGCATTGATTTTCTGATCTTGAAACAGCTTAGGTTTGCATTCATCTTCTACTTATTTTGTTTTTGTTATTGTTGTTCTCTGTCTAGACAGGGCATGCCATCATCCTCCTCCTGTTCTAGAAAACAAATAAAACGAGTAAATAGTAAATGATAACTTTTTCAGCCTCTGTTCATTGTCTATTTCAATTAATTGCTTTGCTAATTTTAACTGCTTAATATACTTTAGAATGACAGAGCCTATCTTTGATAAGAATGTTGTATGGAGTGTTATAGTTATATTTTTAATAGACCTCATACCCCTGAATGCCTTTCTGGAAGAAGTTATTATTAGGGAACTTTTAATTTAAGAGGTCTGTCAGATTGTGTTGCTTTTCTAGAATTAGACAGAAATTAATCTTTAAAGAAATTCACTCTCTTGAGATTCTCATGGCTCATGGACTACAGAAACATTTGCCTTGGCAAATTACCTTTCAATTGTGAAGTGAATTTAATAAGAGCTTTCAAGAAGCTAAGGGATATATTGCCCGCTATCTTGCACAACATATTGTTCCCCATGTGCTCACGCCTTCTTTTGAAATACAAGCCATGTTTAGAGCTTCAGTTATGAATGACATTTTTCCTCTAACTGGTAACGGCTCTTTGGAACAGTCTGTCTTCCCATTTAATGATTCGGGGCCTGGGTTTGAAGTAATCACTAAATACAGCCCTGCTTCTTTTGTCAGAGGTTTAAAACAAATGCAGATGGTGAAGAAACCTAACTCAACCAACCCAATGAGAAACATCTAGGCAATGCTTTCTCAAGGACATCCTTCTATAATGTTACACGTCTTCAGTTTCCTAAATGAGATGGGCCCATTGACCTTCCATCTTCGTAATTGGCTAGGTTTACTTCAGTTTCAGCTGCTGTTCACTTGATTGCAGCAGGCATGTAAGTAAGGCACTCACTAACTGGTATGCATTGCCCCACTAAAATATTTACTGCATACAATGAGTAAATAGTAAATGATAACTTTCAGCCTTTCTGTTCAGTTTACAGTGGTGGTATTTTTTCTCATTTGCTGTTTCCTTATTTTCACATTAATATGCTTGGCCTAGATTTATGAGAACAATTCAGCACAGCAAATTATGCAGGTAAGGGTTTTTGTTTTTCGCTAAATTGAGATTTCACCATGCAGCGTGCTCATGTTTCAGCTTGCTTTATGTTGGAAGGAGGAAAAAATAATCTTTCTAATCATTTGAAACCTGTCCTGTGGGGAATTCTGTCTTGGAGTCAAAACTTCAGAGGAAGCAGGAACAAGGGAATGGCACGTGAAAATGAGGTGGCACTAGAGTTATGATTCTCTTTTGGAAGATATAGCAGTCTCTTTTCCACTTTTTCTGAGACATGACACATGTGAAGCACTGCTTTTTGAGCTAATGGGAATATGATTTATGGTAACACTTATGGGTTGTAATCATTTGGTGGTGCTGTATAAGATAGATTTGGCAACTTGTATAAATTAAATTATAAAGCTTTCTGTCTCAGATGCATAATATATCTTTGGTTTGATAGTCTTATAGATGTATGTTTATTGTGTAAATTGTATGCTTTCATAATGACACATACTGTAGTTAAACAATATGCATGTATTCTGATATGCTTGAGTTTGTTTAAATTAATCGTTTCAGAATGTAGATGGCTCTAAAATAGTATAATGGCATGGCATTCTAATGATGCTGCCTAATTTACTGGCAGTGTAACAAAGCTGAAATGAAATTTCAAAGTCTGACAAATTAGGGCCAGGAAGAGTAAATAAACCAGAAAGCAACCTGGACTTGACAAGAACAACAGCTCCTTCAAAAGGAATTGCTTGTTTTTTCAGCTATACTCTATCATTCTATAAACGTGGATGTTCAATGCATTCGACTAATTTGATTACTACAGGTGAGGACTCTTTGAGTAAGTCCATGTGAGTTGTTGTGGTAGTGGTTAAAAAATTGAATTTACTTTTCTCTCACTCTGGGTACATCCAGATGAATTATAGATAAGCAGCTTTCATTCGTTTAAACATACTCACCTGTTGCTCATTTTCTAATTGGGAAATTGCTTCCACAGAGTAGTAATGCATTCAGCACTAGATTCGGTTCACATTGTAAGTAATGGCTTTTCTATGGAGTCAGGCAATTAGTAAAACATTACCTTCAATATTTCTTGGGGATCACATAACCTGTAGTCTGTCACTACCATGTTGTCTGCCCCATCAGTTCCTCAGATTGAATTTTAGGTGAAAATCAGCCAGAGAACATTTTCAATTTGTTTCTGATTGCCTCCGTGAGGCAGACACCAAAATAATTCACTTGCCTATGTTTTTGAGAATTTTTGCTTTTACACTGATGAATATTACAATGGGGCATGCGATATTAAATCTCCAGGCTTAGAGACAAAAGCATACACTGTGTAAATTAGAGCAAAACAAAAGTAAATGACTTGTCTGAAAGCCTTAGTGTCTGTGTGCAGTTAGGCATGGGTACCCATTATCTTTCTACAGGAGGTAGGAATAAGTGGACAGAGGTTTGAAATATGGTGGACTAAACTGCATATTAGCAACAGAGTTATTGTCTGATTATGTGAACTTCAATTTTCATTAGTGTTGCTTAAACACTGATCAGATTATGTATATAAAAAAACTCGGCTAGATTTTCGTGCTTCCACTTTGAGATGCATTTAGGAGATGGTAACTTCCTAAATCCTCAGGTGAAATCACAGTAAAATTGGTTCTTTGGCAGGTGATTAACATACACAGGGTTTCTTTTTGCTATTTCTGTCCTGTTTTTATCTCTTCTTCCACAAGTGCTTTCTTTGAGATACAACATTCTAAACTTGATATCCGCAGAAAGGAAGATTTCTATTCTGTCAGGAGCCACAAGGGGCATAATTCATCAAGTATTTTGCACCTAATTGAAATTTTCAGCTTCTTGTATATGGAAAAAATACTAGTTTTTAGCTTTGAAATCCAAGCGTAAAAAAATACTGTTTTACTCATTTTTGATAAACACCTTTGACCCTCCCCAAATTAATCATGCTTCAACATTTTTTAAAATAATTTTTGCACTGATATTCATGTGACCACCTGACAATTTGATCTGTATGCCAAGTAGTTGCTGTGTACATGTATATGATATATGTGTATAGTTGAATGTGATTACAATTGCTGCTTTAATAAACATTTGGTTGTCTGAACCTGCTATTTGTGTTCCAAAATTTAACTTAGACATACCTTAGGGCTTTAGAAACTAATCTAGGATTTAAAATAATCATACTACTGCACCTTGACATTCTTGATAACAAACCGCTTTAGGCTTTCAAAAAAGTTTCTTCTATTAACACAGTTGTTTAATCATTCCATCACCACGGGTTTAGTAGTTTGGCCTCTGGAAAACATCAAAGGGTGCTGCCTTTATTTAAGACTGCTGACAGCTGTGGTACAGGGATCTGCAGACCAATATCACTCTTGTCAGTCACTGCAAGACTCTTGGAGAGTGCTGCACAAGGTATTTGTGTGAATGAATATCCACAATTTCTTCAGACAAGGTCTAGATCTTTCTACTTTATGAAGCTTCTTTCAATGACCATTTTAAAATCCATCATTGCACTTTGTTTACTAATAAAGCACAATGCAAATGTGCAAAGTATTCTTTAAGATCCGGGCATTTAGTTATTTAGTTTGTTCTTTTTGCCTTAAGATGAGCACTGCTGAAACATTTTTTGTCAATAATTTGAAAATGGTTACTTCCCTGTACAGGAAACTTCCTATGTGGCCCAAGCTGTTTAGAAGTGAGTCTCCAATATATGTCCAACCTAGGTTTCTTTTCTTACAGCCTAATTTTGCACTGCTGTCCATAATAGGGTAGAATTTTCTCTGCTGTCTGTTAAGCTCCACAAACCATTTCATTGTATGTTGCAACTGAATCCATAGGGTGCCTGGATAGAAAAGGGATTGCAAAATGATAGAATTCAGCCAAGTCTCATCTGTCAAGGTAATGAGTTTAATCTTCGTGATAACTTACAATGCCTTCAGCCTGTGTCTGAAAACCAAAATCCAAACCCCATTATTTCAGGTAGCTAGCCTAAAGCATTTGTGGCCTAAATAGATCTCAAAATTAAACTGTCCACATTCAAACAAATGACATTTTACAAGCTTAATATCTGATGACTGTCTTCCTGTTAATATTGTTGGTTTGTTTTTAGAACACAACTTGTTTCTATAACTCAGTATGAGGCTTTATTGGAGGCCATAATATTTTGCCCTAGCTTTACCTTTTTCTAGTGTGTTTTTTGACCTGCAGTGGTAGTGGTGGTGATTCGTGTTTCACATTCTATTGCATATGGTCTCAAAAGTCTGCTGTGTATGATTTTGCTTATGTTGCTTTTCTCTATTCTGACTGGTTCCAAAAAAAAAACCCTTAAAAGATGCTTTTAGAAAGAATGTGAGGTTAGGAAATAGGTCATTGTGCATAGGGTTTAACCGAACATTGCTCCAGTAAGGCGATTTAGAGGGTTTTGCAGTGCTGGATATTTTGCAACCCAAACACATTTCCCTTTAATCAGTTTTGTGAAGTCTTCTCAAAACATAATTGTTGGTTAAAGTTGGTCTCATATGGAAAATAAAAACAAGCAGAAAAATAACAGATTAAAGCATGGGCAAAGTGATGGAAAGTATAGTGCAAGAGAGGAATGAAAGAAGAAAGAAATACTAATGATAGAACCTGCAGCTGCTTAAAAGACACCGTCCTTTATAATACTTTTGCAGAGAAATCACTGAAATCCTTCTGAAAACCTCAAAACATGTTGCAGCAATTGTAATTGGGGGTTTCAACTCAGAACCTCTTTGAAGAAATCACACACATGGAGAAAGGATAGTTTTATTGAGGATGCACTGATTATTTTTGTGGTTGATGTTCTGGTCTCGTTCCTGACAGGGTTCTGCATGAGAATAAACTGCAGAGCGCACTTATGTAAAATGCGTTGAGCTTAGAGCATCTACTGAAAAATTCATAGCCGTGGTGAGGAATTCAGACTCTAATGAGATGAAGCATATGTCAATAATTCATTTACCCCCGAAGCCCAGATGTTGATGTTTTTAATGATATCAGCTGGGGTATATCGTAAACAAA